ATAGAAATAATTAGACTTCACTCATATTTTAAATTTTGTAAATCTTAGTGGGACATGGTGACTCATGCCTATAATCCCAACACTTTGAGAGGCTGAGGCAGGAGGATCACTTGAGGCCAGAAGTTCAAGGCCAGCCTGGGCAATATAGCAAGATGCTGTCTCTACAAAAAATAAAAAAATTAGCTGGGTCCCTGTAGTCTTAGCTGCTCAGAAGGCTGAGGCAGGAGGTTGGCTTGAGCCCAGGAGTTTGAGGTTACAGTGAGCTGTGATGTGGCTACTGCACTCCAGCATGGGTGACAGAGTGAGACCCTGTCTCTAAAAAAATTAAAAAATGATAAATTTTGTACATCCTGTATTTCACACAGAGGCAGACATATTAATAGTAGTTTAAAGAATTGGAAATAATGTCTTATGCATACTACATACTCAATGTCTGTTGAGTGATTGAACCTTTATTAAGCCATAACTCTTAAGTAGTTATTCTTGAGAAAAGAATGTAAAAGTAAATTTATAGGTTTTATTACAGTGAAACCCATTAAATGGTTCTTAATTTTTCATCCTTTTTATAATAAGGCAGTGTGTAAGGCATATGACTAATAGTAAATTCTTACCCACGCAGCCAATTAGGTCAAATTGTTGAAGGTGAGGGGCAGTGAAAGATACATCATGATGAAAAACACATCTTACTGTGGAATACCTGAAGGCAGTTATTATCTGTATTTCCAGATACCATTGTTACAGTGAAGTTCTAGCCTTCATACTTTGTGATGCTAAGCATATGGGAAACCGTTCTAGAATCAGCAGAGAGGGCCAAAAGAGGACAGAAATCATTCATCTAGTATAAATGCTGGCCTACAGGCTTCCCCTAAAACATTTTATATAATCCTCATAATAACTCAGTGACTCAGAGATGTCAAAAGAACTTGTCCTAAGGTTAGCGAGCTAGAAAGTTACAAAGACTGAACTTTAATCCAGATATATCTAACTCTATAACCTCGGTTTTGGCTGAACAGATATGGGAGGAGTTTGGACTAGTCTAGTCTATGCAAGACTAGTTGAAGAGTATAATCCAAGACAAGATTTGCAAATGATGGTTGACAGTTCTGGGATTTATGGTTTGGAATTTTAATTAGTTGAGAAAGTAGAAATTCCTTTAGAATTGTATTTATTTGGTTTTAAGAAAGAAGTGGCATTTTTAAATTCTCTTTATGTGAAGGCCTCAAAGAAGTTGTCATTAAGTAATCAGACTTTTCAAGCATACACTGTTATTCTTTGCCTAATTTTTGCCACTAGCGTTGTTTCCTTTGAAGTCTTATAATAGCTGCTCAGAGAAACATGCTATAAAGAAAAGACACAAACAACTGCAGACCTCAGTGTTTCCCCTCTCATATTTCTACTCTTGCTCCAGTCATTCCACTTGGAAAATACATGCTTATTTTTTATTATCCCCTTTCTAAAATTTGTCTGTCAACTTATAAAATGGATAGTTTCTTAATTGTGAGTCTTATTAATATTATAGAGTAGAATGATCAAAAGATTTGAAGTAAAATGAATTTCCTTTACTATGTAATTTCCTGGTGCATCTCCTTTTCTGCCCACCTGAATGGGCAGCTTGAGTGACATGCAAGAAAGAATGCAAGAAAACTGCAGGTGTAGTCATTTGTTATTGTTTTAGCATTCACCTGTTAATTGGAACATTGGGCTGGTTTATTTAATGAGATAACTTTTACCCTTTTATTGACTCAGGTTCTAATATAGCTACTTGATGCAATTCTGCTCACCTGATTTTTTAGAACCAGACATAAGTTCGGAGGAATCTGTCTCCACTGTAGAAGAACAAGAGAATGAAACCCCACCTGCTACATCTAGTGAGGCAGAGCAGCCAAAGGGAGAACCTGAGAATGAAGAGAAGGAAGAAAGCAAGCCTTCTGAGGAAACCAAAAAGGAGTAAGGAGTTAACGCCTTCTTGCTATTTATAAATGAAGACTATGTAAAAGAATTGTAGATCAGATTGTTTTAAAGTGTTATAACATTGGTTTATGATAGGTGGTATTTGCTATGTGGATTTACTTTTTAGAATTACCATTTGAAATAGGTTTATTGTATAGTTGTGTGGCCTATTAGAATTTGTAGTAGTTAGCAGAACAGTGATTTGAATAATCCAAAAGTCTTTCATTTTGGCTTGGAAATGAATTCATTGTGGGGGAGTTTCTGAAATTTTAAGCATTGACAAAATTTCGATAAGAAATGAAACCTAAGTATAAAAATCTGACCTGGAGGACAACTTCACCATTTTATTCTTACCTCTGTGCCAAGAGTGAGTTGCTTTTATGTGCTTATGTTAGAAGACATTAATCTGGGCTGGGCACAGTGGCTCACACCTGTAATCCCAGCACTTCGACAAGCCCACATGGGGGTGGGAGATCACGTGGGTCCAAGAGTTGAAGACCAGCCTGGGCAACATGGCAAGACCTCGTCTCTACAAAAAATAGAAAAATTAGCTGGGTGTGGTGGTGCATGCCTGTAGTCCCAGCTAGTTGACAGGCTGAGGCAGGAGGATCATTGAGCCTGAGAAGCTCAAGGCTGCAGTGATCTATGATCACACCACTGTACTCTAGCCTGGGTGACAGTGAGACCCTATCTCTAAAAAAACTTTTAAAAAACAAGTCATTAGTGTGAATCAGGCCATTGCTAGAATGACCTAAAACTCTATGTATGTTTGATGAAGTATTCCGCTGAAGGTGACTTTGAGGATCTGGTGGTAGCAATTATGTTTTAATTAAAAAAATTTTTTTGGCTGGGCACTGTGGCTTACGCCTGTAATCCTAGCACTTTGGGAGGCTGAGGTGGGAGGATTGCTTGAGGCCAGGAGTTTGAGACCAGCCTGAGCAAGAGCGAGGCCCCATCTCTACAAAAAATAAAAAAAATAACCGGGTACAGTGGAGTGTACCTGTAGTCCCAGCTACTCAGGAGGCTGAGACAGGAGGATTGCTTGAACTCAGGAGTTTGAGATTGTAGTGAGCTATGATGATGCCATTGCACTCCAGCCTGGGCAACAGAGTGAGATATATATGTATATGTATACATTTCCCCTCCCCCCTCAGAAGAGGTGGTAGTATTTATTCCACTCTTTTCATAAGTGGTCAAAATAGTTAGAAATTAGTTTTTAAATATAGTCATGCATCACTTAATGATGGGGATACATTTTGAGAAATTCAGTGTTAGGCAATTTCATCATTGCACCAGCATCATAGAGTGTACTTACACAAACCTAGGTTGTATACCCTGCAACACACCTAGGCTATATGGTATAGCCTGTTGCTACAAACCTACTCAGCATGTTACTGTACTGAATGCTGTAAGTAGTTGTAACACAATGGTAAGTATTTGGGTATCTAAACATAGAAAAGGTACAGTAAAAATATGGTATAAAAGATAAAAAATGGTACACCTGTATAGGACACTTAACCATGAATGAAGCTGGCAGGACTGGAAGTTATTCTTGGTGAGTCAGTGAGTGAGTGATAAGTGAATTTGAAGGCCTAGGACATTACTATACACTACTATAGACTTTGTAAACACTGTACACTTAGGTTACACTAAATTTATAAAAAGATATTTTTATTTCTTCAATAATAAATTAGCCTTGGCTTACTATAACTGTTTCACTTTATAAACTTTTAAATTTTTTTTAACTCTTGACTCTTGTAATAATACTTAAAACACAAACACATGGTACAGCTGTAAAAAAATATTTTCTTTCT